AGCTTCCACACGTAACGAGGACAAAGTGTCAAGCATCCCGTGCGTTTTCGCGGTGACATTGAGTATGTGACACGGGGTAGCGAGCTAAAATGGCATGAGCCCTTCAGAATTCGAAGAATAAAGAACCGATTCGAATGTCTGAATAGAAAGCTCTTTGGCCTTATCTCGTAATAACTAATAAGATCAGTTTTGATTAACCTAACCCTTCAGGTCAAGTGATTCTAGCTACACTTATAAGGTTTATGTCCTCCTCTCCAAGATAACAGTTCAAGCTGATCTCACGATAAAATATTAAAAAAATAATAATAATAAGATCAGTTTTGATTCTTTAATTTAATGCAATCATAATCAAAATCAGGTTCGCATTGTAAACCATTTTTTTCAAAACCACATGAAAAGAAAAATGATACTATCAATCAAAATCAATGGATTGAAACAAAAAACTGCAGTTGTGCGTGTAGCACAAGTGACAATGATCATTCTCAACAAATTAAAATTTTATTTTTTATTTTTAGTTTTGTTTTCTCCCTTCATCAAGTCCTCGCAAATCAAGTATTGCAAATGGTAAAACAAAATATCAGCAAGTCTTGACAATCAAGATTTTCATCAAATTGTCAATTACGTGTGTTTCAGTATGGGATTTACATGATAAACGGTTAAAAATCCGAAGATCCGTTGCAAATTAAGTATTTCATAAATTATGCAAAAAATTAAATTTACATTTATTAGGGAAAGGTATTATCTTTGTGTAACTTCTTAGAAATTAAAATAAAAAATTATTTTAAAATTACATTATTTTAATAAAAGTTTATTTAAAAAACTAAAATATTTCATTTGGATATATTAACACTTCATATATGAAAAATACATCAAGACATCGGCAAATTACAAATTTTTGAAGTTTTTTTTTTCCTTCACCAATAACTTGCAAATTAAGTATTTCATAAATTATAAAAAAAATTAAATTTGCTTATATTAACACTTTAAATGTGAAAAAATTATTTTATAATTTAAATTGTATTAAATTATAAAATAAAAAATTTTAAATTTAAATAAATTTTTTTTAATATTAAAAATTGTATATCTATTTAATAATTTATATAATACAATATAA